GACGTAGAGCACGGGGTAGACCAAAAACAAGATGGGAGGATAACATCAGAGAAACTCTACAACAGCACGATGTGCCTATGGTCGAGGCAGCCAGAAGAGCTAGAAACAGAACCTTATATCTCCCTCGACACCCACAGCGGTAAAAGAGGAAGTGAAGAAGAAGAAGAAGAAGAAGAAATGTGCACCATTTTTAGGCTAACTAATGAATGTCTGACAAGTACTATTGTACTGAAAGAGTTAATGTGGAAATGTGACTATAAATTAGGAAGAAGTCTGGGAAAGAAAGGCAACAAGGAAGGGACAGACCATTTAACCTCATTATCCTATGGCCAAAAATCTCTAACGGCCCAACAGTTCACATGCCAAAACAATAATAGCCAATGTAGTACTGTCTGCAGTCTTTAAGTGAGCTCAACAAATCCTCCCAGACACAACTGGTAAATTCCTTTACTGTCTGAACAAGGACATTACCTATAATCAAGATTTTATTTCTCTTTCTGGCAGTATGCAACGGTTCGCAGTACTAGCACCATTTTTAAAGACATAATTTTTTTCGTCACAACTGTAACAGATACTCTGTGTTGAGTACAGGTACCTTTTAAGACACTTTATGGTGAGTGCCAGCACTTTCAGTTACAGGGGTGAAAAGCCTTGCTTATACTGTATCTGTTTAAAGAGAAGCTGTAATATTTACATCTACTGGTCACTATCATGAAACAAATAAAAATATCAATTCTGAGAACATATATCTTTCCTGTGGCAACATATGAATCATTACCATCTAACAATCACTAAAGAAGTCAACCAGGGCTCTACAACTTTGAATATTACTGGAAAATGCTTAGAATACTGTGGATCAAACAAAAACAATGACATAAAAATATATGAACATCAAAGAGAACTGTTTCATAAAAAGCACAGTGTTTTGAAATTAGAAAAAAAAGTTCATATTATATGTCAGTGTTTTAGCAAGAATAATTCTATAAAACATCTGAACATTAAAGAAAACTGTTTCAAAAACAGCATCATGCCTCAGAAACTGAAAAACAATGTCCATATTATATATCATTGTGTTTTAGAAAGAGCATGTATGGTTCCATTTGACACTCAATGGGTTTTATGGCAAAATCAAACTGGCCACCTTAACTTCTTGGATTTTTTCCTGCATCCCATTTTCGTCTAGACCAGCCTGCAAGCCACAGTCAACTATTTAAGAAAATCTGCCGTGGTGTTGATTCAAACCGAAGATCTTTGGGCCATTTGGCAAGCATCAAGCCACTGCACACAGAATAGCCAGTCTAGAGATGAGGCATAAAACTAGAAATAAAACAAAATTAACATGAACATTTAACAGTTTTTAAAAAAAAGGTAGCAAAGGGTATTTATCCACAACATAAACAAACTTGTAATGAATAGAGGAGAGCATACCTTATGTGATGAGGTTTCTGATAATTCTCCGGCGCTAGGCAAACCCACTGTCAACGTATTACCAACTGTCAATGTATTACCAACTGTTAACCCCTTCTCTTCATCCCTTTTCTCGCCTGCTCCCAAGACATTGAGACCTTGCATGTTTGGGGTACTTTTTGCCTGCAGATGGTGGTCGTCAACTGAGAGGAAACAGATTTGCATAAATCAGAAAAAGCTAAGGAACCCACTGGGTCAAAGGAATAAAAGTAGTCACACACACACACACCCAAAACACTGAGTAAGGGACTAGAGTGATGTGAAAAAGATGGGGAGGACATGGAGTGAGCTGCATGCAATGGCAACAGATAGAACATAACTGGTGAGAGTTTGGTTCAGGGTCCATGCAGAGGAGAGAATGAGAGAACAAAAATAGGGAGGACATGGAGTGAGCTGCATGCAATGGCAACAGATAGAACATAACTGGTGAGAGTTTGGTTCAGGGTCCATGCAGAGGAGAGAATGAGAGAACAAAAATAGGGAGGACATGGGTTACAGCCTAGCATTAGTTGGCCAAAGGCCAATGCTCCAGTTTGGGGGGGAAAGAGGGGGGAAGAGCAGAAGTAGAACACTTTATACCTGATATACCCCAAACATATACAATAACAATAAAAGGCATTAAAAGGAAAAAACAAGATCAAATTTATAGAAATTAAATGTCTACAATGAATCCAAAATGTAACAAAAAGATACAAGATCAGAAATAATGAAATCAAGAATCATATATACTGTACTGATCGGCTCTGACAGAGTGAAGTAAACAGATAGAGGGATACGCTAGACAACATAAAAATCAAAAGTTATGGTTAATAGGACAGGAATCAAGCCTGTCACTTCCAATTAACGACACTAATCAGGTGCCGTCTCCACAGTAAAGGTTGGCTGCAGTGGATCTTCAACACACTTTGTCTCCATCATGGTTATACACTCTTGCAGACTGCTGATTGTCTTTTTCCTGATGTTGTCCTATCACTTTTATCATTGCCCAACTCTTGCTCTCTTGCCTTCGATCTTTATCTCAAGTATGGTTTTTAAAAGCATGATTTCTCTTTAATCTGGTCAAAGTATTTCAATCGTCATTTTTTTTTTTTTTTAATCTTTCAGTAATTCTCTTTTCATTTGTAGTCTTTCCAGAACCTATGTACTGAACTGTTTTTGTGTTCATGAAATTTGACTCATTTTTCAGATTACCCACATTTCCAGAGACTCAGTTCGATTTTCTAGTTGCTTGTTCATTGTCCAAGTGTCTGTACCATTCAGTAAGGATGAGTATACTGGATAATGATTTTATCATTTCTGCTGTTATTTTTGTCTAGGCCTGCAGCTTTTCTATGCTTTATGTTTTTAATAACTACTCCACTTCAGCTTTTAAAATGCTTGGTCCATCCTGAAGATTAAACAGTTCTAATTTGATGCGTCTGTTATCCTAAAATAGATCCTATGTGTATTCGGTCCACCTTGTGATTATAAATTTATGGCAGCGCCTTGCTGCAGGAGCAAGTGTACTGTGACACATGACCAACTATATATGTTTCTATGGCCTCCAGGGTTTCCTATCTGTGTATTTCTAAATATCAAGAAACACATTTTCACAGAACCAATGCTAAACTATATCAACAGATAACAAGCCAAATAGTAAAACTATCACAGGACTGCATTACAAACAGTACTATCACTTGACACAATGGAATCAGAGCGAGAGGTCACTTATGTAAATGATGGATAGATGTAATACCTGAGCTGTGAATACCAGAATCTATGTAGCCTACACATAGGCTCTCACAAGATGCCTCTTTTTTACACTAAAAGGCAGAAATGGGACCATAGAAAAAAAATAAGAGAAGAGTTAACATCTTAGAATTGGAATTTACTCGCTCTGCTTACATGGAGTTAATGTTTTAGGTTCCGAATATTTCTTGCCAATATCAGCCAGAGATCGCACAAAAGGAAGATGCATACGACTGCCTCCCTCTTTCTCAGGATGCCGTTTCTTCTCATTCTGATGTCGATGTCGACACAGGATGGTACTTCTCACCTGGTCACGCAGATGCTCTTCAAGTTGTTTGTTTGCTATCATGTTGTCGAGAATCAGATCTGCAAATACAAGAAATAAGACTAAAGCTCTAACATATCTGCTCTAATTGTTACTGCATCCATTTCTAACACACACACTCACAGAGAGAATAACAGTCTCCACTCACCAATTATCTGCTCTATTGTTACTGCATCCATTTCTAAGACACAACACACAAAGAGAATGAAAGCATCCACTCACCAGCTATCTGCTCTATTGTTACTGCATCCATTTCTAACACACAACTCACAGAGAGAATAACAGTCACCACTCACCAATTATCTGCTCTATTGTTACTGCATCCATTTCTAAGACACAACACACAAAGAGAATGAAAGCATCCACTCACCAGCTATCTGCTCTATTGTTACCGCATCCATTTCTAAGACACAACACACAAAGAGAATGAAAGCATCCACTCACCAGCTATCTGCTCTATTGTTACTGCATCCATTTCTAACACACAACTCACAGAGAGAATAACAGTCTCCACTCACCAATTATTTGCTCTATTGTTACTGCATCCATTTCTAAGACACAACACACAAAGAGAATGAAAGCATCCACTCACCAGCTATCTGCTCTATTGTTACTGCATCCATTTCTAACACACAACTCACAGAGAGAATAACAGTCACCACTCACCAATTATCTGCTCTATTGTTACTGCATCCATTTCTAAGACACAACACACAAAGAGAATGAAAGCATCCACTCACCAGCTATCTGCTCTATTGTTACTGCATCCATTTCTAACACACAACTCACAGAGAGAATAACAGTCACCACTCACCAATTATCTGCTCTATTGTTACTGCATCCATTTCTAAGACACAACACACAAAGAGAATGAAAGCATCCACTCACCAGCTATCTGCTCTATTGTTACTGCATCCATTTCTAACACACAACTCACAGAGAGAATAACAGTCACCACTCACCAATTATCTGCTCTATTGTTACTGCATCCATTTCTAAGACACAACACACAAAGAGAATGAAAGCATCCACTCACCAGCTATCTGCTCTATTGTTACTGCATCCATTTCTAACACACAACTCACAGAGAGAATAACAGTCACCACTCACCAATTATCTGCTCTATTGTTACTGCATCCATTTCTAAGACACAACACACAAAGAGAATGAAAGCATCCACTCACCAGCTATCTGCTCTATTGTTACTGCATCCATTTCTAACACACAACACACAAAGAGAATGAAAGCATCCACTCACCAGCTATCTGCTCTATTGTTACTGCATCCATTTCTAAGACACAACACACAAAGAGAATGAAAGCATCCACTCACCAGCTATCTGCTCTATTGTTACTGCATCCATTTCTAAGACACAACACACAAAGAGAATGAAAGCATCCACTCACCAGCTATCTGCTCTATTGTTACTGCATCCATTTCTAAGACACAACACACAAAGAGAATGAAAGCATCCACTCACCAGCTATCTGCTCTATTGTTACTGCATCCATTTCTAACATACAGGTTCCCTGCTTATACAAATGGTAACATTCGGTTGGCCCCTGCCCCTCCTTCCTGGTACCATGTCTTCTGCTATTATTTTTTCCAATCCGTCGTGGCACTTGATATGACCAAAATATTTAAGCTTCTGAGACAGGATGCTGTTTATTAGCCAATATTCTTTGATGTTCAGATCTTTCAAGATGTCAGTATTTCTCCTCTTCTTTGTCCAAGATATTCTGAGAATCTTTCTCAGCTCAAAAGCCCTTATTCTCTTTCTTGAGGACTGGCAGATAGTCCACGACTCACATCCATATGTTGCTACAGGAAGGATGCATGCTCTCAAAATTCTAATTTTGATCTCCTTGCTGGTGCTTAACCATAGACTTTTAATGCTGTTTAATCTGCAACTGTCTTAGACAATGTTACAACTGACTTAGAGTGTGATAAAACAGTCTTAGATAATGGTAAAGCTTTTATTTGTAATGTAAAAACTGACTTGGAAAATGAATGATTCAATCTCAGAATGACTATTATCTACTGGACAAGATAGGACAGATGTGACTAAACACAAAAATAACAATTACATATAACATGTTGATGAGCACACATGAACAATGGCCACATACACACAAAAGCCATACCGTTTTGGGGTGGAAAGAGATTAAATCATACCTTGCAGTTTCCTTCCATTCTCTCTCATCTCCTGCTGAGGAGAGTTCTGCCATCTGACAGAAGATGTCATGAGTTTTGTGCTCCTCATCTTCCTCCTCACCTAGCAAGAACTGTACTCTCTGCGAGGGTGGGGCGGCTACAAATACACAAAATTACAGGAGCAAATGAACACAAATAGGAAACTAAGCTATCAATCCTCGTATACACACCCAAAACAAACAAACAAAAACATTAAAACTATTAAACTTTGCACAAATAAATTTTTGCCACTACATTTCATGCAAAAATGAAGACTACAATAATAACCAAAACTGTTCGCAGCAGGTTGAATGTGTGTCTTTTTTAAGAGAATTGGAATTGGAGAAGAAAATGAATGAACAATTTATCATCAGAAGTAAAGAACAATATTTAATATAGAATGCACTATCACTTCTTCTACTACTTCTGTATTTCTCTTTCTTTGTCACTGGAATGGTTCATCACTTTTAGGTATGAAATGAATGCCTGGCTACCAGGCTATGAGTCGGGGTTCCAACTTAACCACAAACGGGTCACCCCATAACTGCTCCATTCATGCGCCAGTGAAAGTGCAAAATACCCATCACTGTCCTATGTGAAAGGTCAAACCAACAAGGGTACAGCAAAATTTAACAGCTAGCATACACATCGAATAAAGCAGCCACCAGAGGTGCCAACACCAACATGAAGTATGACATAGCAGATGTGATAAACGCCTTTTGGGAGCAGGTGAAAAGCATAGAAGAGCAAGAGCAAATAAATCACCATTGTTTAGAAAGAATAATGTTAACGGGAGTGAATAGAGGATTTGGCAGACACTCAACCCCAAAGTAACCGAAAGAAGGACATATAATTAGACTGTAACTAGCATCATTAGTAATGGAATTTTGTTCTGGCTGCTCAAGATGGGGCTCAGCATTTATGGGAATGCACTGAGTGTATGATCTTGGTTACTAACTCTTCTAGTACCAGCAAGTAAATTCTTCAAGTCTTTCTATAATGAGAAAGACATATTGGCGACCGGGTGGCCCATTAGCTCACCGGTAGAAGACTTTGTCTCCTAGTGGGACAGTATGTGGGTCTGTCTCCTTTGATTACGTCAACACTGTAAGAGTCCTTTTCAGGGCCCCTGGTGGCGTGCAATGCTAAGCTATTTTATATGGCACACATAACCTAGTCACAATTATAACCTAAAGCTCCCCCTTCGGAGGTGCCGGTTGAACGTGATTATTTTTTTTTAAAAACATTTTCAACAAAGCACCTACCTATTATGAGAAATTCTACTTTAAAACAATCATTATGTAAGACTGAATCGATTAAAGAAATACTGATGATTAGAAGGAGCTAAGCTCACAATATCAACAGAGTGAAATATAATAACTGGCAATGATGTTTTTTTAAATTCTGAAAGAGCAGATCTGACTTAGACTAACTAATGAATGTACCATGAGTTTCTTGGCACCAAAAAAGTAAACTAAGCTCAGTTTTGCTATTCATCTCTCAAAAGAGCAAAGGCATTCAACTATCTCACACCAAACACTGGTTCAAGAAATGTTGGATTTTGTTGCCAAATTTTCTGCATAATAAAGTAGTTAGTCTGACCCTTACTCCCTTTAGTTACCTTCTTGTACTTCCAGTCCAATATGGTGGACAGACAGAAAGTTTTTTTTTTTTAAAGTCTGGGCATACTTTCATAGCTTGCTAGAGCAATTTATTCAAAGAGACCGGAGTGCCCAGCTTTGATGACTACAAAATTAAGTGCTTAGTGCGAACTCTGAGCTGTATATTTTATACGGAATACCTTTTATTTGTGCCCCAGGAGTTTGTGTTGGGGTATTTAAAACAAATGGCACACGGGGGAGGTGGGGGTCCTGTGATCTAGCTGATGAAGAGCTTTATGTAACAGTTGTGCACGTTTACAGCCAGCTTGTCGTGACTGACTACTTCAGTCAATGACAAGCTGCAGATTCTGGAGGCAACTGTTGGTGCTGGCACAGCAATTATGGAGTGACCTGTCTGCAGTGAAATCAAACCTTCCACTATCAACATCTACCCAGGCATCTCTT